CCCCCTCTTTCTTTCTCACTCACTCACTCACTCACTCACTCACTCACTCACTCACGCACTGAACACACACTCACACAAACACCACCCCCCCACACACTCTCTCTCTCTCTCTCACTCACTCACTCACTCACTCACTCACTCACTCACTCACTTATTGCCCTAAACAATTAAGCCTCACTGATCTCTATCTCTTGACACGCACAATAGTGTTTACATGGATGGAGGAAATGCGTCTCAAACACAAGTGTGAGTTAGCAAGAGACGATTGTATATTGCACATGAAGTGTGTGTGTTGATGTAATTTTCTCTCTCTTGTCCTCTTCATAACCCTCGGTCTGCTGTTCAGATTATTTACAGAGATGAAAAGTGATTATCCATGAAACACACACACACACACGGATTCATTTATTGCTGCTTTGTTGTTGCGTGTGTTTAGACAGACAATATGGGCGACTTCTTCTGTTTGAAACCATTGCTAGGATTTCTTCCCTCATAAGGAAACACTCGCTGCTATAATTGTCATCAGTTTGACTTTCACACAGAGAGCTGAACGAGTCTCTGAGTTCAGGAGCCGGTTCATCCTGACGGCTGATTTACCGACACGTCTTTCGGAATGCATTTATCTACTCCATCTTCATGTTTTTGTGATTGTGTGAAATGGTTTATGATCACAGGTCTGTCTGTTGTTTACATGTGGACTGGGGCTAGTTGTCACACTGGTTGTTACAGTGAATTTCTGTATAGACTATAAAGAAATCTACTGAACATTGTCTGACACTGACTCCTGTCTGTGGATGAAGCACTAAAAGGCCAAAGTTTTGAGTTACTGACACCACTGCAGATTTCGCTGTTCAGTGTCCAATAAGAGGAGAGTTACTGAGCTGCTGTAATTCGGCTGGTTCCGTGTAGAGTTAAAGGTGATAATACACGGGGCAACTTTTTGAGCAATGTTACTGTCAACGGGCAAGCAGGTGAGACACAGAGCCCACAACCGATCTGAAGTACCCAGATAGAAATTTGTTGCCCGTTCTCAATGAAAGTGTCCAAGCAACATTGCTGAAAAGGTTGCCCCGTGTATCATCACCTTAAATCCGTTTATATTACACCACTGATGTGACTGGATGTGTGCTGGACTAACACAGACCTCCGTCTCAATCTCTTTTGTTTTGTAGAAATGATTTCTATGATATGATACACATAATCGGTCACATTTTAGTTTGGGGATGAATTCTCACTATTAACTATTAACTAGAATTTTCGCCTCAAACTCCTAATTTGCTGTTAATTAATAGTTAGTAAGGTAGTTAAGTTTAGGTATGGGGTGGATTAAGAAATCTAAAATATGGTCATGCAGAATAAGGCATTAATATGTGCTTTATAAGTACTAATAGACAGGCAATATGCTACTAATATGCATGCTAATAAGCAACTAGTTCAGGGGTGGTGAACGTCAGTCCTGCAGAGTTTTGCTTCAACCCTAATCAAACACACCTGAACAAGCTAAGCAAGGTCTGAAGGGTTACTAGGAAGCTACAGGCAGGTGAGTTTTATTTAGGGTTGGAGCTGAACTCTGCAGGGCTGTGGCTCTCCAGGACCGGAGTTCGCCACCGCTGAACTAGTTAGTGATAATTGGTCCTTAAAATAACGTTACCAAATAATAAAATCTGTCAGTTTAAAGGAAAAATTCATACAAATCATTTTAAATAAATGAGGGCAGATTGACTCTTGAAGCTCCATCGTGTGTCTGACTGAACGCTGAAGACGGTCGCATGTATTTTTGGAAATGGAGAGAAGCATTTCTCAGTGCGGTTAAAACTCATCGTCTTAATTTAACACTGAGGCAAATCTCCACAGACGTGACTGCGAACTGCAGTCAACCGACCGTAACACAGCTGCTATACACTCTCTCTCTTTCACACTTACACAGACACTCTCTCTCACTCTCACTCTCTCAAACGCACACTCACACACACACTCACATACACTCATGCACACACACAAGTTTGTTTTTGTGAAAAGTGGGGACATCCCATAGGCGTAATGGTTTTTCTACTGTACAGACCGTATATTCTATTGCCCTACACCAACCCTACCCCTAAACCTACCCCTCACAGGAAACTTTGTGCTATTTCAGATTTTCAATACACTCCATTCTGTGTGATTTATAAGTGTTTTGAAAAGTGGGGACATGGGGTAATGTCCTGAAAAGTCACCTTCTCCTTGTAATACCTATGTCATACCCTTGTCATTATACAAATTTATGTCCTCATTTGTCTCACAAACGCGCACACACACACTCGCACACTCATGCACACACACATGTACGCACACTCATGCACACGCTCACACTCTCTCACACACATATACACACACGCACTCGCACACTCACACACACACACTCGCACACACACGCACTCGCACACACACACGCACTCGCGCACTCGCACACACACGCACTCGCACACACACACGCACTCGCGCACTCGCACACACACGCACTCGCACACACACACACACTCGCACACACACACACGCACACTCATGCACACACACGCTCACACACTCATGCACACACACACACACACACTCGCACACTCATGCGCACACGCACACGCACACTCACACTCATGCACACACACACGCACACTCACACTCACGCACACACACTCGCACACACACACACACACACACACACACACGTGCGCACACATACATACGTACGTACGTACACACACACATGCACACACGTACACACACACACAGCACTTGACATTGAGAGCATAGGTCATAATTTAATTTTGTAGTGAGCACATACATTTGTTTATGATAATGAATCCAGATTATTCTAAATGCTTAATTTGCATAAAGGCACCCAAACGATGTCCATATACAGTCTTTCTGTACAGCCTCACCTGTCTTCACCTCCAGAGCAGCAGTGAGGCTCTACAGTGGTTTTGTTCATGTTTCATTCACAGTAAGATCTTCAAGTAAATCATTGTGCTTTTCACTACATGCTTTGAATCCCAGCTGTGTGTTGGCATGTCACTCTTATTTTATTTTATTTATTGTATTTATTTTTTCACATTTTTTTAAAGATGATTTGTAACATCACTGAGTATGTGATCTCTTGCTTTTCTAGTAAATTTACATGTTAGTGTTAACGTACTTATGAACCATGATTTCTGTGTGAAATGTTGCTACTCTGATTTTAATCTCAGATAGGTGTGTGTGTGTGTGTGTGTGTTGGTTAGCGAATGAGACGAAAGTGTTTGTGGAGCTGTGCAGTGAGGCCTGAGATGAAGATGTGTTGATGAAGAGTTTAAACATAGCACTTTCTGACTGTTTCCACTCAAACTCCAAAAGAACAGAATAAATGCTGCTTCACTTTCGTTTATATACTTCAGTTTGACTGTGTGAGAGAGAACTTTTACAATGTCATTCAATCATGATGTAAGTTGTGCTTCCTTTTGGTCGAGATCCAAGAACCTTCAGTATCTGAGGCTGACCAGAGAGAGCGAGAGAGAGAGAGAGAGACGGGTGGGGGGGGGCTCTTATCTCATTCCTGCAGGCACTTCTTTTACTCTTATCAACATCACCATATTGTACAAGTACATCCTCCTGTCCAGCAGAGAGCGGAAAACTCTCTCTCTCTCTCTCTCTCTCTCTCTCTCTCTCGCTCTCTCGCCCAATACTAGTTCAGTTCAACTGGTATCCAATTAGAGCACCATGTCTATTGGTGATGGGGGGGGCGGGCTGATGGAGAGAGAGAGAGACGGGCACACATGCATCACTTTTACATCAGCGTATGTTCCAGTCGTCCGTCATTCCCGCAGTGAGGTCATCTCTCCAGATCTCTGATCTTCACTGAATGCTGGAGAAACTTGTGGAGAACAGCGCTCAGGAAGAGGAAGGAAGAGCGAGGAGACGTGTGGAGGAGAGCGAGGGTGCGATCGCTTCACAGACGGCGTGAACGAAGACAACAGAGAAAGTGACCACAAACACGGTGAGTGACCGACGAGATCTCGCACCGCAGCAGACGCTCTGTTTGTCTGATCACCACTGATTCACGGCTTATTCTTCATAAGCGATGCTGACACTCGGAATAACTTCATACATTTATTCAGAACTACTGACACATGTTGGATATGAAACGAGAACAAACTCATTTGAGAATCAGAAAGTTCTTGTAAACTGACGTGGACATTAAAAAGACTCATCGACAGAATCAGACATTTGGAAAGAGAGAGAAACGTCGGAGGAACCATTGGAAGAAACGTGACCCGTGAAAAGCGTGATGTTTCCTGTGAGTGAAAACACATGGAGCTTCCAGAATGTCAAGTGTATGTTGTGTTAAGGATCGGACTGGAGTAGATCATTATGAAGAATAAAGTTCATTAAACTGGACAGAAAGAGGAACCAAATGTGAACAATAACAGCCGACATTTAAAAGAGGGAAACGTGAAGGAAAGCCTGTTAAATCGCTTTCTGTGTCTGATCGATGAGTCTATCAATGAACATCCTCACACAATCAAAGACTGACATCAGTACTAATCGTTAGACAGCAGGACGACTGATATGTGATATTTGCATAATACAACACAAGCAAGCACTCTTAGCAGCTGTTCCTGGTGATCTCAGAAAGGCAGATACTAACAATAGTACCAAATGCAGATTGACTCGTCGTAGACATGTACCTCTTTGAGATTTTTTTGCTGTCATGTCCACTACATTAACTTCTGTTCACTCTGATTCAGTGAATGTTTTAGCAGTGAATGTGTTTGTCAGTCACTGAACTGTGAACTGAACTCGATGAAATGCTCAGAAGTGGAGTGACACTGGATTCACCTGCAGTGTGAACGCGACTCTTAAGGCCCCCATATACTCACGGCAAAGTTACAGCATCCCCAGAGCACACCATCATCTGTGACCCTGGACCACAAAACCAGTCATAAATGTCAATTTTTCGAAATTGAGATTTATGCATCATCTGAAAGCTGAATAAGCTTTCCATTGATGTATGGTTTGTTAGGATAGGACAATATTTGGCTGAGATACAACTATTTGAAAATCTGGAATCTGAGGGTGCAAAAAAATCTAAATATTGAGAAAATCCTCTTTAAAGTTGTTCAAATGAAGTTCTTAGCAATGCATATTACTAATCAAAAATTAAGTTTTGATATATTTACGGTAGGAAATTTAGAAAATCTCTTCATGGAACATGATCTTTACTTAATATCCTAATGATTTTTGGCATAATGGAAAAAACGATAATTTTGATCCATACAATGTATTGTTGGCTATTGCTACAAATATACCCCAGCGACTTGAGACCGCTTTTGTGCTCCAGGGTCACATATTACATACTCGCTACAGACCAGTGGTAGTTCAAAGGTGTTTACAAACTACAGTGAACTTTTCTGGTTTGGCAAGCGATTTCGAACTCCCAAAACCAACTCCAATATATTTGGAGTTTGTTTCAGGAGTTCAAAATGGCCAAACTGAACTTTCCGACAAAGCTCGTTCCACCTGGCAAACACAAACTTAGTCCTGGCCTGTTTCTGTTTGAAATGAAGTCACACCAGTTTGTTCTTCATATATTAGGGACTTTATATCATCATCCCGCCTGTTTGAAACCAAACTGTTTTGTTGTTTCAGGACCGAACAGAAGCGGATTGATCTGCAGACTTCCACACGAGGAGCGATGAGAAGAAGCTGAGAACATCAGGAGAACTCGTCAGTCTCCGGTCATGATGGAGAAGAACGAGCCAGCCATCTCGCCCTCCTCACCGTCTCCGTCTGTCCTCCAGAACGTCAGCCCTGCTCGCATGAGTTCGCCCGAGGCTAATGCGGCTCGTGATGCAGAGAGCCCTACGGACAGCAGGCCCAGCGCAGCGGAACCAGAGGCCACTGGAGCCGAGACCCGGCCGAGCCCCACAGTCACGTCCCTCCCGCCCAACATCCCGGTCATCAGCCTGGCTCACAGCAAACCCCCCCTGCCTCCCCTCTCCATGCTGACGGCCCTGCACCCCGCTCCGCGCCTCCTTCACGGCCCCACGGAGCTGCGACCCGCTGCGGCCCTCCTGCCTCCACCCTTCCTGCAGACGCACCCCTTCATCAGCAGGTGAGGCGAGATCAGACCCACAATTATCTCCACTGTTATATTCCTTCATAGGACGAGAAGAAAGCATCTTCATTTGTGCGTTTCGTGGTGGAAATAAATCCGCACCTGATGCTGTTGTGCTCAAGCCAGGGTGTTGCTGTGCAGTGTTAGGGTCTGAGTGATTGTTTGAGTGTTGCTATGAGGTTGCTAGGGTCTTCTGGTGGTCACTAGGGTGTTCTGGGTTGGTGGTTTTCTGGTGCAGCAAGTGAAAATGGTGCATCTGAGCACACTCTCCTCCTCAACACATGATTTGAGGAATCATTCATGTCTGGAACACCGACACTACAGGATGATGCGCACAGGTTAACAGTCACAGTCTTATTTAGCATCAGAGTAAAGAACAAACTGATGTTACGTTCTCTCGTAGACCAGTGACTTGCTGAACCTACAGCTTGATCTTTCACCTCCGTTAGTCTCAGTTTTGTCTTAAAGCGCTGCAGACAGAATGAAGTCCGATCTATCGGAGCTGAACGGTTGTAATGAGGACAGAACGGCGACCGTCACGTTTGTCCAATCAGTCATCAAACTCTCAGGACTGCTTTTATAGATTTCTCTTCCACATTCATCTCCTCATGTTGCAGTGTTTTTTCTCTCTTCTCTCTCAGCTCTTTCCTCGGACCATCTGGGAGCTTTGGGGTCTTCGGGAACGCTCGTATGAAGAGACGGCCATCCACACACTTCGAACTGGAGCTCAATGATGGTACACCATTTAATTCATGGAGTTATTCACAGCTTTCACGCTCTTCTTAAGACTTGGTTCATCATCGTCATAGATTAAACCAGATGAATCGTGTGTCTGTGCTCAGCTGTATCTCACGTGTGGTTTTCCTTCAGGTCCTCCTCAGAAGATGGCTCGGCGCGTCTTCACTAACAGCCGCGAACGCTGGCGGCAACAGAACGTAAATGGTGCTTTCTCTGAGCTCCGCAAACTCATCCCGACCCACCCGCCTGACAAGAAGCTCAGCAAGAACGAGATCCTGCGCCTCGCCATGAAGTACATCAACTTCCTCGTGCAGCTGCTGAAGGACCAGACGGGCGATCAGGCGTGTAAAGGCACAACTGGGGGTGTGGAGGACCGGGAGAAGGATGGAAGCGAAGCTTTGGGAAGCAGCAGCTCCCCGTCCCGTAAAAACAGAGACTCCACGGACTCCATGACTGTGCTGACGGCGTCATCGGGCTCCAGTTGTTACGGCGACACGGACAGCGAGGAGAGTACGGGGCCGCGGCCCTGCGGCATTGAGACGAAACATGGCGGGATCACGGAGAAGGTTCAGGAACGGATTCTAGCAGTCACAGCGAGCAGCTACCAGCGGTGACCAGCGCTAACCAACCTCAAACTGACACGCAGCATATAAACTCTCATAGAAACATTGCGTGGAATGTCAGTGAATTTACTTCCTGTGCGTTTTTGGATCGGGTTAAATTCATGGCTTGTGTTCCGGATCCATGTTTCATGTGTCGAGTTAGCCGCGTCACGTGATCCTTCATGTCTGCAACTTCTCCATTTAATTTCCTCTCACTGATATTTCGAGGAGTTGTATGTGCGGCTCAGTCAGGGAATAAATAGAGTTTGTGGGTTCCTGGTGTGATCAAGGGTACCTCAAACTTCACATCTACGACTGTCTGAAGCATTCTGACTGGATTATTTAATAATGTATTGATCTTTTGAAAGCATAAATGCTAAATGGAGTAAAAGGGAGAACAGCTCAGGCCTGTCCAGTGGGCCTCTGAAGACCTGCAGCATCTGATGGGAAATGTTCTGATGGCAGCTCACATCACACTCTGATCACTGTCTTCTCTTTGTTTGCTCCGTCTGTAAGAAGTTGTAATTATGTGGCTTGCGTTCAACTGATTTTGGTGTGAATAAATTAAACATGATTGTTTCAGATTTTTGTCCTGTTTTCACTTCCTAATAAATGTAGGAAGCTTTTAGCACTGGTGCAACATAATGAAGAGCAATGGATGAGGATTACGTGTGTAAGTGACCCACAGAGGATGATAGGAAATATCGTGCAAAACATGCTGTTATTGTCCGTTTAGTTTTACTAGTACAGTCAGTTATTGGGGGGTAAATGTTGCTTCAACCAAGTCAAATGCTCACTGACCCCACTGATGCTATAAAACTGTTGTTTTATTGCATGAAGAGTCAGCGGCTGCGCCTGTTCTCGACTCGTTCTCCAGGGTCCGCATGTCTTCTGCACTTATTGTGTCCCTCGGCCAGTTGTCCGGAGCAGATGGGACGTCCTCTGGTCCTTGTGTGATTAGGATTTTCCAAGATTTTTCATCAGAGAGTGCTAGGACAGGAAAATAATTTTGTTTAAAAAAAAGGCCCGTCCTGTAGCCGGATGCAGTTTATCCATGACCGAGCCGTGAGAATACGAGTGGATGGAAAACTGTGATGCTGTTCAGCCATGTTGGCTGAGCTGTTTTTCCCACTGCAGCGGGAGTGTGTGGGGTCAGAGGTCAGCTGTGGGTTTGACTGCTTCTCGTCTCTCTCATCGTATCAGGTGTCCAGGAAGCGCCTACAGTTGCTGCTGTCTCATCGCCAGCCAACCGACTTCCTGAAACAGTCCTCTGGTGGGAAGAAAGAAAAAGTGAAAATCATCCTCTCCATTTCAGCTCATCCGTCAAACACGCACTCCTGAGAGCCGCATGGCAGGAAGGGAAACTTGCATAACACTGTGATTCACGGTTGAATGACACGCCACTAACGCAGCGTGTCACACATGACGGGACGCACACACCTAGTTCAGGGATACACGAGGTCTGTGCAGCGAGTGTTTCCCGTCTCTCTGCACTCTGATACAGAGGCCGGGGGGCGGGGGGACGGCACTGAGATAAAACCCCCCCGATGCCCCCGGAGCAGGGCATTGTGGGTACCACACCCTCTTCGCCGGCACTGCGCTCGGCCACCTGCACGGTTTCATCATGCCTGCAGTGGTTGCCGCGGTTACGACATCCCTGATGACACTGAACACTTCCTCTGGCCAAGGTCTCACACACTCACTCTCTCTCTCACACACACACACACATACTCACTTTCTCACACACACACACACACACACACACACACACCCTCACTCACT